CAATAATTGAAATGGTTTAAATACTTAAATCATGTGAATAATAATGTGTTATATAGAAGTTCTACACTTCTACGAAGAAAAGATTGATTAAAGACAAAAACAAATGTAACTTTACAAAAGATATTAGTTTAAATCAACTTTTGTCTCCAACATTATTGGGTCGTAACCATTATGGTATTAAAATATTATTATGTAAAAAGGATTTCGCAATAATATTTTTTTAATATTAGGAGGGTCGGGTTTCAGGTTAACAAACATATTATTATTAGGTACATAAACCAAATAAAATTAATGGAACACAATAAAAGTGGTTTCCATTAAGCTGTTGTTAGTTCATGCTGCAATTTTGACAATCTGGATTTCCAAAGATTTGTAATAAACTTAAGGAGGAAAAGGGTTCAACGGAGACGGCCAAATCCAAAGATATGCAGACGAATTCTACCCCAGGCGGCTAATTCAATTTGGGAGACGTCAACGGAACCCTCTGACCCTCGCTCCTTCCATCCCCCCTGGTTTCATCTTTCCACCGTACCACTCCTATCAGATCCCGTTTTGAAGTTTTGGGATTGACAGCAGTCTGCGAAAAAAGACGCTTTTGGAAGATTCATCTCATGGGCAACACGATCTATTGCTTCAAAAAGACCACAAGAGACAGTCATGGTCGTAAAATGCGTATAAAAACTGCCGGGAAAGACAGCAATGGTACATTTATCTTGGGCTATAACTGTCTCACTCACAGTAATGTAACCATTCAAAAAATAAATCATTCCTGGGCAAATCCCGAAGCCGCTCGTTCAGAGATAATGAAAGAGACTTCAGTGTTAATGAAGTTGAGGCATGAGAACATTGCAAGATTGCTTTATGTTGAAATGGGCGATATGTCTATGGGCCTTGTTTATGAGCATGATGATCATTGCTTTTTCATGGAGAAGAGAAAAATTCCTGCCAGGAACCCACATAAAATAAAGACTCATTTACATCAAATTCTTTCTGCTCTTGCGCATTGCCATTCTCTGAACATTCTTCACCGAGATTTGAGACCAAATCATTTGCTGATGGACAGCAAAGGCAATGTCAAGCTTGCTGGTTTTGGATGGGCTGTACTTGAGGCTGATAAATCGGCTACAATTATAAGTGGCACTTTGCCTGATCCTTTGCCGAGGGATGCACCTGAGTATAGACCTCCTGAATATTTCCTAACACTAGAGGAATGCTCGGAAGCATCTGATGTATGGTCAGTGGGATGTATATTTGCTGAGATGGTGACACAAGAACCACTATTTGTCAATGCTGATGGATCGCTTGGTTATCCTGGAGCTCAGGCACACAAGATTTTGCAGGTTGTCGGCCCACCTGAGGAAGATCAACTGCTGCCTGGATACACAGAGATGTGCCGTTACCCTCTACGCAGGCCGCATTACAGACGCATGGACTTTGCTAAAAGGTTCCCTGGTCTAGAAGAATCTGGCATCGATCTTCTCTCACAAATGCTTCGTGTGGAACCGTCCAGGAGGATCAAAGCTAAGGATGCACTTGGTCATGAGTACTTCCATGATTTGGACAAACCTAAATGAGAGCCCGTCTGCCTTCCAATTAACCAATCTTTGACTCGGCATCTTTTGTGATGAGTGGCTCCTTTGTGTGAATATGGAATCCCTATGTCAACTTTGTTTTATGAGAAATATGGCCTCGTAAAGTCGTGAATGAACTTATTAGTAATAATTATTTAATATTTGTCTTCTGAATAGATCACTAGCCTACGTGTATTTTATTTGCTCGAAGGGTGATTTTGGAGACTTGGAGATCTAGCTATGTTATTGATGCTTGCATTGCTTAAGTATCAGTTCAAACTCTTTTGGCTTGATCAACCTTTTGCTTGAATTAAATAAGGGTTCACCTTTTTTATTATGAATATTTTATTGCAGTAAAAAAATACTAAGCTGTTAGTTTTGATAATAGAAAGAGACCATTATTTGACATAATAAGTCCTAAAATTGGAAATTTATTAGGGGACTTTGACTTTGCACCTCATTTTTTGGGATATACGTAGTATTAGACTTTGCACTCCATTTTCAGAATCATTAATTTATGCATCTCATCCGTCTAAATGCATCTCATCAGTCTAAATATGGTAAAGGAATAGGGATGCAAAGTCAAATGATTTTATGCTAAATGAGATGCACATATTAATGATTCTTAAAATGAAGCACAAAGTCCAATATCAATAAAAATGGGGTGTAAAGTTAAATTCACTCAACTTATTACGACATGGTACAAAATTATCCCTCCTTAGACCCAGTGACATCTCAAATAGTGACACCCACTCAGTGACTCCCGGAAAACCCCCAATGACATATTGGAAACTCAGTGATCTCTTTTTTCTGGTGAAGCACCCGCCCCAATGGGCAATGACCCGCCACTGATGCCACTGCCGTGACCCATCATTAGTGACCTATTTTTTTCAATTGACAGTGAAATTGTCACCGCCAGTGACAGTGGCTCTACTATAAGTAAGTAGTGTGCACTGACATCACCAGTGGCAATGGCAGTGACTCCGTTGCCGGCTGCCAGTAGTGACACTGACTTCCATACTGTCACTAGTTCACTACCCGGCCCCTGCTCTGCCCCACCCACCCTCACAGCAAAAAATCTGAAATCGCCGCCAGTTCTTCCTCAACATTCAAGGCATCCTCATCTCTGCTGGATTGGCGAAGCGCCCCCTAAACGACGGAGCTCATCCCTGGACCAGTGTCGATGCAGAATCTCTGGATTGAGTTGTCGTCGAGAATGTAGTTTTCTTCTTCATCACAGTCCCGCTATTGTCGACCGTTGGACGTCATCAGAACATCCCCACCATGGTCGTCGTCGAAGAGCTCCACTGTCGTCGTTGTAGGAGGTGGATGCTGTCGACCCACGAGGTGGACGCCCTTCGGTCAGATGCTACTTTTGAAGCAGGGAGATGGGGAGCTCTGAGGCGGGGTGGAGATGAGGCAATGTAAGAAGGAAAATAGCAGAGAAAGGCATTTGAGACAATTCATATACGTAGTAATTTATAGTCATTTTCTGTCCAAACAAAATTTGCTTCCTATTTACGTCCTTGTTTCAACAATAAACCAGCATCTAGTCCCTTGAATGTTACTACTATATAATGTGACATATTATCCACCCATGCTTGTGTATGATCCTGCAGTTTGCATTTGGTGCGAAGTGAAGGCATATCCATCCAAGATGTTACTATATTTGGAAACTTCAATTCCCCAAATAATGACGGGATTGACGTAGAGGACTCGAATAACACGATGATCACAAGATGCCACATTGATACAGGGGATGACGCCATTTGTCCCAAATCATCTACCGGACCTGTTTATAACCTCACTGCTACAGACTGCTGGATCAGAACAAAGTCGTCTGCTATAAAGCTCGGGAGTGCTAGTTCTTACACTTTTCGGAATTTCACCTTTCATAATATAACCATTGTGGAATCCCACAGAGGTCTTGCTCTGCAGATACGAGATGGAGGTATTTAACGCATTTCTTGCTTTCGTGTCATATATAATTCGTATATGTATTTTATATATATACAAAAGTAAGATCTACCATTGCGCCTATAATAGGGATGAATTGTGTCAAATATGTGAGAGTGCAAAGATGAGATATTATAACTAGCTATAACCTACTATCACCAAATTTATCCTATTCTTTCACTTTTATTAAAAATATACATTTAAATACCCAAACTTCAACTTTTCTAACAATGACATTGAAAGGATGAATTAATAATACTTAAGAAGAAAAGGAAGTAAAGAAACTAATTGAAAACATACATATATTATACTTTCATCATCCTAACAATATCTTATATCTTCGTAACCTGGCATTATCTATCTGAATATAATTATATAACCTAAAGCAACATAGTCTAATCACTTTGCAGGAAATGTTAGTGACATAACCTTCTCAAATATAAACATAAGCACCAGATACTACGACCCATTATGGTGGGGAAGAGCAGAGCCAATATATGTGACAACATGCCCGAGAGACGCCAGTTCCAAACCAGGCTTCATCTCCAATATCCAGTTTCTTAACATCACGTCAACTTCAGAGAACGGAGTGTTCTTATCAGGCTCCGGGGGTGGACTGTTGAAAAATTTGAAGTTCAAAGATGTGAATCTGACATTCACGAGATGGACGAACTACTCAGATGGCCTGTTGGATTACAGGCCGGGATGCAAAGAGCTTGTTAGCCACAAAACGGCCGGGTTCATGATGGAGCACATTGATGGTTTGGAAATTGATAATGTGTTCATGAGATGGCATACTAAGGATCCTGCTATGAACTGGAATAATCCCTTGGATTTCAGGCCTTCTACTGTGAATAACATTTCTTTGCTCAACTTCTTCTCAAAACCATACCAAGAATGAAGATGATCCATGACACGACCAATTGGAAAAGTTTAAATCATTACTCTGTCTTTTGGTCTTACTAAGCAACTTAACTTATAGTTGCTTATCGGCTCCATTTAACCCTTTTCCTTGTTTTTTGTATTATTTATCTGTTTTCAGTCTTTAGTGCGTTATATATTAGTCTGTTTATGTATTCCACTCCAGAAATCTGAATAAATTACGACCAAAGCTTGAAAACATTATTTTAATTATTTGTGTGAATTGTAAGGGATTTGTAAGAACAAAAGGTGATGAATTTTTCTGCCCTCTTCTCCTGATTTACATACGGGCAACTGGGAGAGTTAATATATCCTGGTGACGGAGAAGAGAGCATGAAAAGTTTGATTTACTTTGGAAGAAAAAATGTGTATAGAAAAATGAAAAGAGTGATATAGATTTACGTGAAAAGGTAGATGATAATTAATTTCTTTTCATTTCTTTTATGTCATTTTTAGTTTAAAATAAGAAATGTGTAGTTCTTATGACGAACAATAATTTTATTTTTCAACAAGTTAGTTGAAGTTGATTTTGATAAGAGGATTAGTAAGTGTAAGAAAGTCATGATCTTTGGATTGAGGTAATATGTCTCAAAATCAAATTTCGTGCGTGAGATTATACAACAAGCTAACTAGCTAGACAGGCGAAGCCTGCTCCACATGTGTTCTAGTGACTGAAAATAGACTTCCCTCCATGACTTGTTCAACACCAAAGTTGCGCACACAGCTGAAAACCCCACTGCATATCCTAAACTCGAAGACACATAGAACCATTCTATCTCACTATACCCATCATCGTCTTCATGCTCACCTGTGAGTCCATTCCCATGGCTGCAACTTCTCGTTAAAGGGGGCCCGCATACATCATTACCAATAAAGCTCCTGCCGTCTAAGCCCAGAAGCTGAGTGCTTTCCGGTATTCTCCCTGTTAAGTTATTGAAAGACAAGTCCAGATGACTCAATAAAGATAAAAGCGAGAGGCTATCAGGAATATGTCCTGACAAAGCATTCCTAGACAAATCCAGATATTCCAATTGCTTCATATCTCCCAATTTATGTGGGATGGGACCAGAAAAGTGGTTTCTTGACAGGTTCAATGATCTTAACTCCACCAAGCTTGTGATCTCCTTTGGGATATATCCAGAGAGGTTATTGCTGGAGAGGTCAATGCTGGTCACCAGTGAGAGAATGGTATCATACTGCAGGTCACTTCCTTTAGTACCCACTAATGCACTGTCTATAAAGAAGGTTTGTGAATAGTTATATTCAGCTAAGCTTCTTTTTGTAGCCATTGCATTGAAGTTACACACACAGGAAGGTATGGCGCCTGAGAGTTTGTTGTGAGACAGATCCAAGATTTGGAGAGAACTTAGTTCACATATCTCTCTGGGAATTTCACCTTTCATCTTATTCGAGCTTAGAATGAGAAACTTCAGCTTCAGTAGCTTCTTCCCTACCCATGTTGGTATGTTCCTGTCCAGATCATTTTCAGAAAGCTCCATCTTCACCAGTTCTGTGCAGTTCTGCATTTGAAAAGGTATGTCTCCAGAAAATCTGTTTCCGTATAGATTAAGCGACTGGAGGTTTGAAAGGAATCCCATGGAATTAGGGATGCTTCCGAACATGGCGTTATTGCCGATATTCAAGTACTTCAAAGCAGGCCATTTCATCCAACAATCTGGAAGCTTTCCACTTAATTGATTTCCTCCCAAGTGAAGAATCTCCAGATCGTATGCCTTGGCTGAGCTGCCGCATAGAAGGTGAGACGTGCCGGAAGACAGTGAGTTATTGGATAGATCAAGCTCTTTCATCGCGTGTGAGATTTGGGGCAATGAACCGCTGAATTGATTAGAACTCAGATACATATATTCATTCGGGAGTCCAATTATGGGTGGAATTTCACCGTAGAGGTGGTTATGGGACAGATTCAAAACCCTAATTTCCCAAAACCAGCTGGGAACCTCACCGGAGATCCCAGTTTTGGATAAATCAAGTTCCGAGATGGTATTCTTCTGCGTCTCCAGCCACAACAGAACCCTAGCGCCTTGACCTAGCAGTAAGTTCCATGACCCCAGTCTGAGGGTGGTGACTTTGAAGGGCGGGACCCAATTTGAGCTCACATTCAAAGTTAAGTGACTGCCTGAGGCAGTAAAGGTCTTCAATTTCGTGAGATTTGCGAAGTGGTTCTCCGTCACGACCCCTTCAAGCAGCACGTTGTCGTCTGCGTATAGATCTTCCAGATTTGAAAGCTGACCGAAACTCTCAGGGAGATTCCCGGTAAACTTATTGCCGTACAAGCTGATTTCTACCAATGACTTTAACTTTCCTAGGCTGGCTGGTATCTCGCCGGAAAATGAGTTCCCGCCAAAATGGAGATGCTGCATTCTGGTGAAGTCTCCGAATTGGTCCGTTAGTTGGCCAGAGAGTCGGTTACCCCTCATGCAGAGGAGTTTCAGAGATGTTAAGAAGCACTGTGACATATTCCCGAAGGAATCAGATATGTCACCCTCAAAAGCATTGTAGGTGAGGAACAGAAACTCTAATTTGCACATTTGAGAGATTTCTCTTGGTATTTTCCCAGCAAGGTTGTTCCCAAAGAAATCGAGGGTCTTAAGAGAGGTTAGATTCGCTACTGCGTTGGAAATGGTTCCATGTAGGAGGCTGTAACTGAAGTGAACAAATTCCAAGTCTTTACACCAGTAAAGCCAATCTGGAATGGTGGAATTGAAATGGTTCTTAGAGAGATCAATGTATTGGAGTTTGGTGGCATTGGTGAGGGTTGGGATTGGTCCGTTTAAGTTGTTGAAACTTAGATCAAGGTGAAGAAGATTCTTGAGTTGAAAAATCCAACTGGGGAGGGTGTAAGAGTTGAATTTGTTGTGGGAGAGGTCGAGGAATGTTAAAGAAGTAGCAAGGTTAAAACTTACAACTATATCATCAGGGATAGAATCAAGATTACAAAATGCAAAATGCAACTGTGTTAAAGATGGGAGCCTGTTGATGACTCGAAACCAATCCGCAGCTTTGCTTAGATCCACATAATTCAAGTTGAGGTACTCCAACCGAGAGAGCCCATATAGCCAATCAATGCTATCCGCTGTGACTCTCACGGAACCATTCAAGTCTAAAGTATGTAAAAATGAAAGATTCCCGATGGTATGAGGAATCTTTCCATGAAATCCAGCATCTGATAGATTCAAATACTTGAGGTGTGTGAGCGAGCCGATGAATGAAGGGATTGTTACCTCAAAGTTATTGAGGCTGAGATCAAGGTGTCTCAAGTGTTTGAGATTAACCAAAGATGGATTTATATTACCACTCAAACCATTGTTTTGAAGATAGAGTTGATGAACATGGGCAGTGCTAGTGATGTTGTGGTTCCTGCAAACCACACCTTTCCACTTGCAGCAATCAACTTTGACATCCCATGATGATAGGTGATTCTTTGGATCTTTCAAAGATTGCTTCAACTTCGCAAGTGATTGTTTTTCAAGTTCTGGACAACCTATGTTTATATCTCCAAAAGAATAGGCTACTTTAGAGATCAATAAAGTTATGGAGATAAAAAGTAGGAAAAAAACAGTTGCATGGATCTGTTTTGAGGCACCCATCTTTGGTGTACGCTACTCTTCTGTACACTATATCATTGACATCAGTGATATAGTGTGTACCTATATCTCTACTGTCAAACACTCAAACATAATAGTCAAATACTCAAATGATAATAATTGCATGAAGTTAAGAGCTAAGAGCTTGACCAAGTCAATTTGACATGTAAAAGAAGAAGTATAGCGTCAATCATAGCCACTTGAGAGAGTTGAAATTTGTATTGTTATCGGATAGATGTACGACATCATAGGATTCATAGCGGTTCATTTTTACTTTTTTTATTAGTTTTATCGTGATTGTTTTTATATGAACGAATGTTTATTAACGCAAAATATTTTACTGTAAAAAAACACAAAATATTTTTCATTTATTAATAAAAGACTAGTTTATTATCAAAAGACATAGAATTCTCTCTCTAGGCGAGAGCTTCTATCTAGGCGGCTGTCTCCTCTAGGATTAGGGGTTGTTTTTCTCCGCTTTTGTCTTCGACGAAGTGCGGCTTTCGTCCGCCTTTCGTGAGGCGCTCTTCTTCGGCAGACCGCATCACCTATATGGCGGTTTAAGGTTGGGTTTTGAAGATGTCGTTCATGGTTGAGATCAGAAGGTCATGAACGAAGCGTGAGACTAGAGGCTGAAACATATCGAGACCGGAGGCAATGAGCGGAAGATGTTACAATACTGTTGGACTGTCCCCCTCCTGAATCGCCGCCATGGAGTGCAGGAGAGTTTAGAGTTTGGAAGCAATATTTTAATTTTACTATTTGCTTGCTTTCTATTTTTCATGACCAGAATTTTTATTTTTTCTGTTGGTTACCTTTATGGTTGTAAGATTCTTGCATTAGGGTTGGGTGATGAAAGGTCTATTTTAACTGTCGTTGGCTTATTTATGCCCATTATAGGATCAACGAGTTATATTGCTTTTTTGGAAGTGATTAACTCTAAGTCTGATTCGAGAGCTGACGGTTGATTGTGATCCTTTTGTCATTTTACCACCTATCTGAATGTTGGGATTTGAATTTAACTCATTTGTTTTGACGATCAAAATAATAAAAGACTAGTTTATTTATAATAGATGTGCAATTATATATCATGACAAATTTAAAAAAAATCATGATAAATTTGAATATTTTATAGATATGGTTGGGTGTGTGCATAAGCGATATAAAGGTAATAAAGGGGTTTTCTTTAAATATGACTAAGTTGAAGTCAATTTCCATAAAAATGTTTACGTTTACATGTGGGTAAATATGTGATTAACAAGGTCATAAATTTGAAAAAAAAATATGATATCACTGTCAGATTTTCATGTTGCTTATGGATGGTCGCTGCCAACGTGAAATGTGTCATTGTAAATGTTAGACAATTTTCTGACGATTTTTTCCATTTTTTTTTAAAACATAAACAAAAGGAGAAATTGTCCTAAATAGGAGTAAATGAGGTTTGAAATTCCAAAACAGGAGTACTATATTTTTCTTCTCAAAATAGGAGTTGTTACTGTCATGATTGAAAAATCAATTCCCCTCCAATTTTTTGGCGGCAGATTTGACAGTGGTTGGACGGGTGTGAGGGGGGACTAGGGCAGATATCGGATATAAATCACAATGAAATAATTGAATTAACACAAAGCTATAGGTAATATTTGTATATATCCTTTTTCATACGTAGTACTCCCTCCATTCATTTTTATTAGGCCTCTTAGGGTTTGGCACGAGTTTTAATTATAAAGTAGTAGGGTAAGTATAGAATGTGTAGGGTAAATGATAAAGTAGGAAATATGGTATATTAGAAAGAGTAAAGTGATGATAAAGTATGAAAGAGAGTGTATTAAGAAGAGTAAAGTGATGGTAAAGTAGGAAAGAGAAAGTAGTTTGTAAAAAGTAAATGGGGTAAAAGTAATAAAGGTGTGGGTATTTTCTCAAAAACTTTCCTTAAAGGGAAAGGAGAACAAATGAAAAAACGTCTCAAAAAGGAAAGAAGGACTAATAAAAAAACGGGAAGAATATATAAAAGTGTGTATTTGATAAATTAACTAGGTAGTACTCCGTATTGTATTAGCAAGTCAACAATTTTACGCTATACAACAGTCAACAAGGGGATCCTGGCACACCAAAGTGACCAAACCATACAACTACGTTGTTCTTCACATAGAACCCCTTCTGGTAATACTAATTTGATTGAATCTGATAAAATTAGATTAAAATGAAAAAATAGCTAAAATATATAATCCTCTACACAAGTTCAATCAATTCAGTTTGAAAAATAACTCTAACCTTATGTTTTTTAATTTTACACAATTCAAAGCAAAAAAATAAAAGTTATGTATTTGAAAAAAGATCTTACTGCAAAAACTGATAAGTGAAGAATAGAGTCACCAAATGGCTCTAGATTCATTGTGTCATTTTGTGTGGTAAAAATGTTTCAGGACATGCAATAGGATCTTTTGTGATTTCATTTTTTAAGCCACTTGATGAATTTGGGGTGTTTGGAACTGATTCTGATTCTTCTTCTTTTTAAAAGCAAAAGCAGAATCAATTTTTAGAAGCTGGTCTCCCCCAGCTTCTAAAAACTTATTCTAAGAGTAAATTAGAGTATCAGAATCACTTATTTACTTTCACCCAAACACTCCAACTTCTGCTTCTGCTCTCTGAAGGAGTAGAAGCAGTTTCAAGAATCAGATCCAAACAACCCTTTGTTAATTAATTTATCTCCTACGAAAAGACAAGGGGAAATGGCATATTAGGTCCTTCGCTTATGAAAAGTAGTAGATTTAGTCCAGGCATTAAAGTCAACCCTTCTTTAGTAATGTGGTGTCTTTACTAATTTGAAGTCTTGAAAGATAATTAATTGCATGATCACATAAAATTCTATCAACATAATTTATCTTTAATTTCATTCAATTTTAGGTCTTAGATGGATAAATTTTAATTATTGGACCATATATCAAAACTCTTTATCTTTTAGGACCTTATTGATAGTGAATACGGAGTATATGTTTGAGGTCCTGAATTGATAAGTTTTTTATGTCAATATATAATTGTTTAATTTGTTCATAATATCAAATCCTAAATTAATGAAAATATTCACTATTTTAAAATATTCACTATTTTAAAAATTGTTGTGTGGACTCATTCATATATTCATGACACACAAGAGTGAGTTTCTAAATTTTAATTTTCACGGCATTTAATCATGCATTTTGAATGTTTTAAATGAAAATTAGCACATTATTTAATGTTTATTATTGCTTTTATATTTTACATGTCATTATTTTTAATTTCACCCCGGTCATGTCCAGGCTCCGCCCCTGCTCAACAATTAAAATGCTTTGCCATGAGGTAGTATGTGTCCAGTCCTAACCTTCATATACCTTATGTTACGGGGGATTATGTAGTTGAAGAGGTGGACATGATTCTTAGAGCAAGAGAAGAATGTATGAACATGCTCAAGTTTCTATTAGAAGGACCTAAAACCGCATGAAAATTCAAACGGGCAAACACAGAAGTAACAAGAAATAATTCTCCAACAATGACATCGACAACAATATGTGAGCTAAATGACTAATCAAAAGTTATTAGTCCTTTGAGACCCTAACTCGAATTATATTAGGAGTGTTGCATACAAACTAAACTTACCACATCAATCTAAAATACATCCAGTGTTTCACACGTCTTAGAGCATCCACATTGATGCTCCTCAATTTTACGGTTTTTTATGGCTTAATCACTTCCACATAAGAAAATATCAAATAATCTTCAAACCAAAAAAATCTCCTCAACCATGATCTTAATTTACTAAGATATTTTATGAGACATGCACTAGTTCAAGATAACAAGTTACATGCATAATTCCTTAAAAAATTATACGTACAAGTAGTATTTGGTTGGAATATGATTTTGCAATTATGAGTATGCCTAGAAAATTGGGAGAAGAGTCTAAAAGTTGGAAATAATCTCAAAATAATCCAGCTTTAGAATTTGGTACCGGATTATTTTATCAAATAATCTCATAAAATAATCTCAACTTCTCATCCATGATCCCAAAAAATATCATCCACATCATCAAAATAATCCCTAAATAATCCTATGGATGAGGATGCCCTTAGTTGAAGCAACATTATGGCCACTAATGTTGCTCACTACCCATTATGGATGAGGATGGACAACTTAGGAATGAACTCATGACGTTCTTGGACATGAAGATAGTTAAAATAGGTAATACATTAGCAGTCTACTAATTAGTCTAATGGTCTAATAGTGAAAAGGAAGATGTTAGATGCTTAGAGCTTTGCGAAGACTTCATTGAGAGTTTTTCTAATTTTTCGGAGAATACAATTACTATTTGACAAGCTGAAAAGAAAGCGTTGGCATTGCTATGCATCTCGAGTTGAGCTGGCTACTTACAAAGCAAACAAACAATAAGGAAGAAAGAAGGCAACACCATCTTAGTAGTTTGAAGAGTTAGTTATCAGAACAATACTGCGCAATTAAGTTGCCTATTCGATTGTATGTAATTTGCTTGTGAGTGTAATAAGAACTATTTGAAATAAGAGTTATGCTAAAAATGCATTTCACTCTTATAAAAAGTATTAAAAAGAAGGTTTACGATTGCATCATAAAATCAGAATTCACCGAGCGTATCCTTCATCTTCGAGGTTGCCCTGACAGCTGGCTGTAGCAGAATAGAAACCACGAAGGCGAAGAGGTGCGGTCGTGGGAGATGATATTAATCGGTTGAAGGAGGGAAGAGTCTCTGCCCCTTGTGATTTCGGAGACTCTATCATCCCTGCCCCTGGTTTAGGGTTTAGGGTTCAAGGTTTACTCCCTCCGTCCCATTATTAACTCCTTATTTGACTAGGCACCCAAATTAAGATAGTGAGAATCGAGTGATGGAGAATTGTGCAGAGGAGAGAGAAATGTGTAAGAATGATCGTGAACCACAAATTCTTTGCCAAAAAGGAAATAAGAGATAAATTTGGGACGGACCGAAATGGAAAGAATAAAGATAATTATGGGCCGGAGGCCGGAGGGAGTAAGAGTCTCTAGTTCGAATCCCGACAACTGCGATGAGAGATTACTAAAAATGCATAGAGCCTCTGTAAGTACAGGTGTCAGTCTCACTTTCTATGTGTCTGATTAAAGTCTAACTTTTATCTTTCCAGTTAACTATTCTATCGGTTCTCAGGAATAGAGTGTCATCCTTATTTGTTTAACCCTCATCACTTTAAATCAATAGTGATTGCAATAGTCACTTTCTTGAAATAAGTTAATTTGTACAACTGTACTTCATTTTTGTTCGTTGAAATAAAACTAACACCTTCCACTAAACGTCTCATATTTTCTGTACTATATTGCCTAAATATTGTTGAATTCCTACTTTTTTAGTGTAAAATCTTCCGGTTAAATCCCGGAGATGATATCAAATCCATATGTTAGAAATTGCTGTAACGGTGAAGTGAAATTTTAAGAATGCTCAAGAAGACAGCATCCTTCTTGAATAGACGTGCTATTGAACAACATTTTCATTCTTCCATCCGGAGTATCCCCGCATGTATTTACCGCCAACTGCAAACTTTGACCTCCTCCCCTCCAAATGTGACAATTCTGGAAGCTCTATGCACAGATGGTAACCTAACAGAAGCCTTGTTTGAGATGGGCAAGAGAGGAATAGAAATGGTTTTCAAGGACTATAATATCCTGCTTAACGAATGTATAAATCAAAGGGCAATTAGAGAAGGCCAAAGGCTTCACTCCCACATAATCAAGACCCTTTACCGCCCTCCCGTTTTTCTTAGGACAAGGTTAATCGTTTTCTATGTGAAGTGCGAGATGCTGGGTGACGCTAAAAGGGTGTTTGATGAAATGCCTGAGAGGAATGTTGTGGCTTGGACTGCAATGATATCTGCATATGCCCAGAGAGGGTACTTTTTGGAAGCTCTTAATCTTTTTGTTCAGATGTTGAGATCAGGTAATTTCTTATCAGATTACACTGCGGGCATAAGTGAAAATTCAAGTGAGCGAGCTCAAGTAATCACATTTGATTGAGTTCCATTGGCATGAGTTTGTCTGTGTATGCATTGGTGTAAGAAATGCTGTTTTTCAGAAAGTTCAAATTTATGCAAGAAATGTATTTTTCGTTTTGAAGGGGTAAGCACCAGAAATTATAAGATGCAAGACTAAGCCCCTGTTTTGTAGCCATTTTGTGGCTTATTCGGCTTATCGGCAAAATAATATGTAGATTTTGAGTTCATTGGCAAAGTGGAAAACACTTTTCCTTTAATAAAATTCAATTATTTCAGTTAAAAAACCTACTAAACAGGACCTAATTGATCAGTTTTATCAATGGGATTTTACCTCTTGCAAAAATGTTGGCCTTAATTCGCAAGTAGTTGTTTGCATGGTTATTAGTTGTTTGGAATTAGCTGTGTATTGAGGAAGCGGTCCAGCCCAGCTGGTTGCCGACTCACTCTCTCTTATGGGAGGTCCCGGGTTCAATTCTCAATGGAGTGAGATTGATTCTAGTTTACCCCAGGCCCCCCCAACGCCCCTCCCCCTGACGCCCCTGGGGTAAAAAAAAAGGAATTAGCTGTTTATTTTAGTAGTTTAGACTCACTTTTAAGTTAGCTCTCTAAGGTGAGATGTTTGGTGATAGCAATTAGCTAGTAGGTATTTGAGTGTATATAATGTGAAACAAGAAATTTAAAAAAAAAAACTTCCCAAGTTAGAAGCTTTTTTAAAATGTGCATTTGATGTACTTATAATAGGCTCATTACAAAACACTAAATGAGCTGGTTCACAAGATCAAATTGCTAATTGACATCGAAAATTCTTGAAACCTTGAAAAAATCCCTCTACCAAACAAGGCCATTCATTTGTGCATGTACCTTGACTTTAAATGTGATGAAGAAATTACTACTGCAGGAACCCAGCCAAATGAGTTTACATTTGCAACAGTGCTCACATCTTGTGTTGGAACCTTTGGACTCAACTTCGGACAACAAATCCACGGGTTATTGATCCAGAGTGCATTTGAGTCCCATCTCTATGTTGGAAGTTCACTTCTTGACATGTACGCCAAATCTGGTAGTATACCTGAAGCTCGTCTTGTGTTTGAATGCCTACCGGAAAGGGACATTGTTTCATGTGCTGCCATAATTTCAGGATGTGTCCAACAGGGCCACTTTGAGGATGCTATTGAGATATTCCGTAGATTACAGAGAGAAGGAATGACGTCAAACTATGTTACTTATACAAGCCTCGTAAACGCATCATCTGGACTTGCTGCAGTGGAACATGGCAGACAAGTTCATGGCTATGTCATTAGAAATGAATTGCTCTCTCATGTAATTCTTCAAAATTCCTTAATTGATATGTACTCCAAGTGTGGAAACCTCACCTACTCGAGGATCATATTTGACAGAATGTCTGAAAGAACCGTGAGCAGTTGGAATGCCATGCTTGTTGGTTACAGTAAGCACGGAATGGGAAGGGAGACAGTTGACCTTTTCGAAAAGATGAGGAACGAAAACGTAACTAAACCGGACAGTGTCACGTTTCTGGCAGTATTGACGGGCTGCAGTCACGGTGGAATGGAGGAGAAAGGTCTTGAGATCTTCAACGAGATGGTCAACGGGGAAAATGAGGGTGATGTTTGGATGGAGCACTATGGATGCATTGTGGATATGCTGGGACGGTCGGGTCGGGTAGAACAGGCTTATAAATTTGTTCAGGAGATGCCTTTCAAACCAAACGCTTCGGTCTTGGGCTCTCTTTTGGGCGCATGTAGGTTTCACGTGAAACCCGAAATTGGCGAGATCATAGGAAACCGACTCATGGAAATAGAGCCAGAATGTGGTGGGAACTATGTTATCCTCTCCAACATATATGCATCCGCGGGAAGGTGGGGAGATGCAAAGAGGGTGAGGAAGATGATGCGAGAGAAGTTGGTGATGAAGGAGCCAGGAATGAGCTGGGTTGAGTGAAAATGTGTTAAGCCATGGTTAAGGAAGCAGGTTTTGCACCTGAACTGAGCTAGTGTCATAATATGATAATACTAGTACACACTGAATGAACGCAAGTGACACCTCAGAGATCAAGAATATGCCCTTGTTTGTTTTCAGGAGTTCAGGCTGGAAAGCATTTGAGTTTTGGTGGAAATTGTACTTGCATTCCAGCCAAGATCGGAGCCGGGTTTTTTAGTGCGGAGGGCAAATCTGTGGTTATCTGATTATCTGTCTCTAGACTTAAGCATACAACAACATCCAAGCCTTACTCCCAAAAGGTTTTGGGGTCGGTTAACATGAATCGATTCATGATCTCCAGATTTAGGGATCACACGGGAAATTAAATTTTGTATCAAAGCTATACCTAAAAAATGACCAAGCAGAGTGTTTGGCAATGCAAGAACAGTTACCGCTGACATGGCCTATATGATAGACCCCACACGCCATTGGATAGTAAGGTTGAAGTGTTGAACCAAACCCTGCACTTTGGATAGTAAGAAAGAGTATAACAAAACGATGATGCACGAAATAAATATCATCCTTAATTCACTTAGTTCATGTGAAAATATAAAAAAGAATATCATCAAATTGTTGAATATAATAGAAACCCTCAACGTTCTTCTTCTTCATTCTAGATTAAATACTTCGTAGTTCTAATTTAGTTTATAGTTGAACCTTGAGAACTAAAATTTAAACCATGTTAATTAAATTGTAAAATTGCACTAACATGATACAACAAAAAGTCATGTACGCTAACATTACTAGAAATGAAGTGATTAATGATTTCTCTAAAATTTTAATATTCTTTCAATACATACCAAACTATAACATAAATTATCTAAAAAGAAAAGATAACAATATATATATATATATATATATATATTATATACTCCGTATATAAACATACACATTTAGCTATTTTAAGGACGCATAAATACATACTTGGGCTATAAAATTGTTGGTCTATAAAAGAGATTTATTGAATTGGTATATAAAAAATATAAAAAGTTCATGTGCATTATTTTCAAACGGTTCGGTCTGATATTTTTCGGTTTTCAAAATTTAGGACCGGTCCCGTACCCGTTTCAAACGGTACGGTTTCGGTACGGGACAAAAATATATAGAACCGTTTAAATACCCGGTATTCGGTTCGGTACCATTATGGGACGGTTCGGTAACTGGTTCGGTTTGGGTTTTATGCCCACCCCTAATGTGAACTATGAACATGACATCATTATTGTGAAATACTCCGTAAATTATAAGTTCGTCCACGTAGAGATGCACTGCTCCCTGTCTCAACAAGTGTCTCATTTACTTTTTAACAGAGTTTAAGGTAATTGTTGTGAATTTTATAAAAAAAATAAGAACTTTGGTATTGTAACAATATAGTACGGAGTAGTTATTTTTATTTTTTAGGGTAAATTTCTTTCTAAGTAATAAGTAAGAAAATGAGATAATTAATTTGATATAATTATACGGAGAGATAAGATGAGACAATTTTTTTTTATGCGGAGGGAGTATGGCTCAGTATTGTGATTTTTTGTATTTGAACCTGTTTGTAAAACAACTTTTTATCAAATAAATGGTTTTTGTGCGTACTTTCCTTTGTTAGTAATATATGGTTCGTGAATAATACAATAATACGTACGTTCGTGTATAATACGATAACCAAGCATTTCAGCCTAGCTGGTTGTGAGGTTACCGTGCCTAGCGAGAGGTCTCGAGTTCGAAACCTGCTAGGCACATAAGGGTTTGAAACTCAACGGAATAAGTTTCAGCCCTGATTACTCCAGGCTCCCCCCAACCCCCCAACCCCAGACTCCCCTGGAGTAAAAAAAAAGTGTAAAAAAACAAAGTATAATATGATACAATTATTTAAAATACGGCTTAATATATGTTTCATATGTTTGTGATATATATAAAGATACAGACGTGTTTTAAACGTTTCATAATTTAAAAATACGACATATAATATGTGTCTTATATACTAATTTAATGATAGAAATAAACAGTTATTTAACATTTGCATCACATTCTTCAACAATTTAACATGTACGAAATAGTTTTTTCATATATAAGGATTTGAATGCATGGGTACAATTAGTAATAAAATGATATTGCCTATTTGAGTAGAAGTAGAGAGACAGAGAATAGTTGATATTACTGTGACCGAGAGTTTGGTGAGCCGCCACAACATTTTTCGATCTCTTTGGAGTCTTGGTATGGGTGGAGAACAAAAGTAGTACAATAGTAGTACAATAGTAATATCGAAACGGATTTCGAATTTAAGAAGCTAATTTATTAAATGTAATGACTAATAAACAATTAACGAATATATAAGACATAAAGTTTCTTAAGCAATATAAATAGTATTGAACAACTAGACATTCCGTTTAATGACGTGTGTTTTTTTAATAAAATACGTATCAATACATACCGTACGTGCATGATACATTTTATCATTAAAGTACGTGAGTTTTTCAGAATTTTCTGAATAATTCATTAACGAGAGTATTATACGTGAATAAAATATGTATCAATACGTACGGTACGCGTATTATACATTTTATCCTCAAAGTACGTGGATTTTTCAGAATTTTTTGAAAAATTCATAAACAGAGTTATTATATGTGAATTATACATTTGAGTGTATTATACCCAAATTATACTCGAATAAAGTAATATCCAGTCGCAAATTTCCTTGCCTTCGACAAATACGGTATTCCACCAACTGTGTCTCTGACTCTTCACAGTTTCAGCCTCAATGCCGTCCGCGAAACCCTTCGCGACAGTCGCAGGGATGCTGAAAGCCAGATCGAGCTCCGCCCTCCGAACTCGAGGAGGTCACGGCCCGAACCCATTCCTTACTCCCGGCCACCAGGAGCGGCCCAACGGCTACCTCTTCAACCGTACGCCCCTGCCGCCGGGGCAATCCCGAAAGTGGGAGGACTGGGAGCTCCCTTGCTACATCACCAGCTTTCTCACCATTGTCATCCTCGGTGTGGGCCTCAACGCCAAACCCGATCTCACTATTGAGACATGGGCTCATCAGGAAGCCATCAAAAGGCTCGAGCTCGAGTCCTCTTCACAATCCGACTGATTGTTTGATCGGTCAATCTGGGTATGCTTTTGTTACGCCCTCTTCTGGAATTTGTCAAATTAGGGTTTGGGAAGAGAAGATCACAGCCTGAGAAGTTTTCTGTTTATATTTCCTGATGCAATTTGGTGGAAAATAAGTGTTAATGTTCATTAACTCGTGATTTGAATGGTCAATTTAGACTCCCTTATAAAATAACTTCAGTTTACAGCTGTATTTGACATGGTAATCTTGTGCTTCAATGAAGATGCATTTTCCTCAATATATATATGATAGCATGATTTCCGTCATTTTCAATGGACCCAAAAGACTCACTATTTTTTTGCTTGAGAATATGATGAAATAAAGCAAAATGGTTCGCTTAACTGTATGTCAGTCCATGCCAATTTTAGACGCGATTTTCACTATGGTCATCCGGAAACAGTCTCTCCGTGCTTTAGTATGTGTTTTAGTATAGGGTAAGACTGCGTACATCTGACCCCCCGTACCCCACCATAGGTAGGAGCCTTTGTGGCACTGGGGTAATGATGATGATATATATGATAGCATGGTTTCAACATATATCTGGTTGGTTCTTATGATTCTACATCTACTAGAAGTTCCATTGAAGTCTTAACCTTGAAATGATAGTTAGTCCAATATCATCTATCATACTTTGTGCAAATCACTTCTACTTTCACTATAAGTATAGTTGTGGATCTGTAGAAAAAGTTGTGTTGAATTTTTTCCTTTTCACTGGGCCTGAGCTGATATCGGCAGGTTTTCTTACCCGGTTACCCCTTTAAAACAATCAAAGCAAAACTGCAAAACGGTATCCATGAATGAAGAGCTTATAAAAAACACTCTATACTAGTTATGCAGAGTAGGCAAGTCCTTTATAAACTTCAGTGAGTTCAGTCTGACAGGAGAGAAGTGACATGAATCACAAGAATATGCATGAAGCTTCATTCAGTTCCATCATTGCATTCTCTTAACTTGAAATATGTACGTGGTGTCATGCTCGTGTGAACATTAAATACTCCCTCCGTCCCGCTATTAACTTCCTACTTTCCTTTTTGGGCCGTCCCAAAATAATCTTCTCATTTCCCTAAATGGAAAGTTATCCTACATCAAAACAGTGCAAAACAGTGCCAAACAGTGTCTAAACAGTGCCAAACAGTGTCTAAACAGTGCCAAAAAGTGTCTAAACAGTAAAGTCAAATTTATTTCCTAAATATGTGTGTAGGTCAAAGTAGGAACTTAATAGAAGGACGGAGGGAGTATATTGAAAGCCCAATATGTTCTTACTTTACTATAACCAAACCAAACATACCTAGTTTGTCACTTTCAAACATAGGCTGTGAATGTGAAAAGTATGAGTTTGCTATGATTATTTGTTAATTCTTTTCGACATTTTTTTTTATGTGGGGGTGTTAAATTTTTTTTGCACCAGCTTTGTGACAGTCTTTATTTTTGTACTGTTTTTCCTGATCCGATTGATTTGTTAATATAAATGGGCAATCTAGGCTAACTCCAATCCTGCCCAAGGTTGTGCGCTTAGATCACTTTTAGATCTGTAAATGAATGGTGCTAAATCTGAAGGCCTATATGCACACAGATAGCGTCTTACAATTTTATTATAGCATTTCTCACACATTTTGAGCTTCATCATTCGAAGTGTTTGATAATATAACAACCCCCGCTCTTTCCTCTCTTGTTTCATCTAGCCTTTAAAGACTTGGCAAGGACCAAGTTATTGCAAAGTTGTATCAAATATGGGGTATTTGGAAATACATGCTTGTACTTCTCATTCTGTGGATTAGATGATCTTTTTCTTAATAATACCAGTTTTTTTTTAAGTCTGGCCCTGAAATTATCATGCTTAAACGAAGTGTGCCTTGAATTGATATGGACAAAAACATAACTGTGACTTTCTAAATATAAGACTGAAGAGAACCACATGATGTACTAATGGAGGATTGGAGGAATTATGAGAGAGATGATTTGGGTGCACATTATGAAATCCTAGTTTTTGGTTGGGTCTAAGGCTTGACACGGTCTGGTTATGGGCCTGTTCCTTTTGTGGACTGGCCAGTCTTAAAAAATTAGGGAGGCCCGAGAATTATATTTCCGGTTCTGGTCCCCCCGCCGGTCCTGGTCCGGTTAAGGTTTTTCTATTTTAGATTAAGGTTTTTCTATTTTTCTTATCTTTCTTCTCTTTTTGGCTCTGATATTGTGGATCAATTCGCGTTACCGATCCCAAAATCTTTTGAGAATAAAGCTTTGACGTTGTTGCATTACATATTTTTAATAAGCATCATATATGTATTTATTGTCAATTTAATTTAAAATACATTTTATATTTTGTAAAAACTTGTATATTTTAGAATAATAACTTAATTTCTATGTTGACCGGGTTTTCCGGCGTTGACCCACCGGGTCCAGGTTGACTCGTGACCCAATCATCTGGCCGGGTGGCTTCCCGGTCCGGTTTTTACAACATAGCTTAATGGTAGTTTGAGTTTGAATTAATGAAATGTGTTTGTATTAAATGTTAGG